GCTTGCCGCGACGAGGCTGCCGACCCGAAGGGAAGAGGGTCGTTGAGGAGGAAAGAGACCCTCGTTAGACCACCTAAGGCGTTCCAGAAAGGGCCTTGCCTTCGAGCATTGAAGGAGTTGTCGTCCCTTCCGCCGCGGAAGGTGGCGGAAGGGCGGCGGAAGGCCGGCGGAAGTAAAACGGAGCCGCCTCCGCCGGCAGGAGCCGGCGGAAGCTCGGCGGAAGGCGGCGGAAGTGAAAAATGCGCCCCCAAGAGATGGGAACGTTTTTGGGTTCAGGGTTTTGAAAGCCGCCACCTGTCGCCCAGAGGGCCAGTGTTTAGTTGGGAAGGTCCCTGTACATGAGGAGTAGTATTCACAAATAGTCAGAAAATAGTCTGGGGACGATTTTTTCATCACATTTTGATTGTTTTGTGAGTATTTTTTGCGTATCTGTTTTTTTTTCGTCCAATCTCCGCCAGTTGGGGGACACGCCCGACCTAAGGCCAGTGGGAGTCTGCCTCTGGCCTCGCCGAGAGGAGGCGCGCGAGAGGGCCCTGGGGGCGCCCGCCGCGACGGGGCCGCCGACCCCGCGCCGAGCGAGGCGTGCGAGAGCTCAGTCGGGCGTGTCCCCCTACAGGGAGAATGCAACACACACACACATATATATATATATATATATATATATATAAATACCTAAAGAATCGTGTGGGGCCTTTTTTTGTTTTGTTGTTTTTGTTGTGTTTTTGACTTGATTTTTTTGTGCTGTTCTCTCTATGTTGCTCTGGCAGTTTTGGGGGTATCTTTTTACGCTCTCCGTCCCAGATCCGCCTGTGGGGGGGGGACGCCCCCGACCTCGTGCGAGCGGGCCCGGGCCGCCGCCGCGTCGAGGCCGCCGACCCCTCGGCGGGGCTGCTCGACGTGCGCGCGCCCGCCGGCGTGCCCGGCCTCGCCGACGAATGCCCCCCCGGGGGGGGCCTGGCGCGGGCGCCCCGCCTCGGTGCGGGGGCCGGAGATCGGCGTCGCCCCAACACACAAATACTACGTGTGCGTGGCCTCCTCCTCCTCCTCCTCCTCCTCCTCCTCCTCCTTTTTGTCCTCCTCCTCCTCCTCCTGCTCCTCCTGCTCCTCCTCCTCTCCTCCTATTCAAGCAGTGGCGAAGCGTCCTGGCTTGCTTGTAGCCCTACCAAACAGTGTTCTAAGGACCTTCTGTGGTTTCCACGAAATGTTCTTGGAACATTTCTGGCGGAGTCTGTCTTGTTTTATGCCGCGCATTTCTTGCTCGTCTTGCTCCTCCAGCTCCTCCTGCTCCTGCTCCCCCTCTCCTGCTCCTCCTCCTTCTCCTCAGTCTCCTTATTCTCCCTCCTCTTCCTCCTCCTCCACCTCCTCCTCCTCCTCCTTCCACATCCCTCCCCCCTCATTCCTGCTCCTCCTCCTCTTCCTCCTCCTCCTCCTCCTCCTCCCCGCGCACGTGTCTCCTGGGGCCATGGCTGGCGAAACCCCCATCCCTTGGACGCCGCCCTCCTGGACGCCCCCGACTGGTGGAGCGGGGGATGTGTGTCGGTGGGGGCGCCACCCTCTTGGTGTTCGTCGGGCCACCCTGAGATCCTGGCGTTGTCACTTTTTCGCAGCAGGCGTTTCTGCCCCGTGCTAGGCCCCGGAGCCCTCACGGATCGCTCTGGCTCGACAAACTGCGCAGCAAGATGGGGTCCGGGATTTTGGTGTAAGTCGGGCCTGTCCCTCCACAGGAGGAATATTCAAAAATAGTTTAGAAAATAGTCAGGGGACGATTTACGTGAGTATTTTCCGACCATTTAGGAGTATTGTTGGGCTATTTTTTTCATCCAAATCCCTCTGTAGGAGGACAGGCCCGACTTACATTTTGGTCGTCAGTGTTCGCTGTGTCGTATCTGATCTCGGGGACGGTGTGTCGAGGAGACGCCAACCTCTTGGTCTCTGTCGGGCCAGCGTGCCGTCGTGGTGCCTGCCGTGTCAGAGCCGCCACTGCTCGTGTCGGCTCGTGTGATCGCGCTGTCTGCCCTTCTGCATGGCACCCGCTAGTGCTGTTATGCGTTTTGTGTATAAGTCTAGTCAACATCGTACCTTGCGTTGTCAAGCTTTCATGCGTCTCGATCTTCGCTGCCGCCGCGTCTGTTACTTATATAAGCCGATCGTTCCAGAGCTGTTTTTTTGGTGCCAGCATGGCGTCTTGATTCCTGCCATGCCTGCTTATTCCTGGAATGTGCTGTATTATTCTGCCTGACCGTGCTGTGTATGGCTTGATTTGGCAAAGCTTGCTTAAACATGGAATGTTTGTCGTTTTTTCTTACTATGCACTCGAACGTTTTTCCTGGCTTCGTAAGTTATGCCTTCTTTTGTTTCTAAGGCGGTCGTTGCTGCGCTTGGTTCTCTTCGGCCGGCGTGACGTTGTGACGCCTATCATGTCTGACGCAGCGTCTAATCGGTCGTTGCTGCGCCTGTTTTTTTTCTGGCCAGCCTGACGTAGCCACGCATGTCGCGTTATGTAAGTCGCTGTTCATTCTTTAATGATACTTCATCAAGTTGTATGTCAGCTTACGTTACCTCTACGTGTGCCCATGCATGTCATTTCGGCATGCTGTGTGTACGCTGTTGTGTGTTGGATGCAGCGTTGGGCTGGCGTGAAGTCGTGACACCGTGAGGTCTTTCGTGCGTGATTAGTCGTAGAAATTGTTTTCACACACATCGTACGGTATTGCACAACAGTTTACATGTCTCCTGTGTTCATCAAGTCTGATTCCGAACGTGTGTTTTCGTGTCTGTCGTATGTACGCTTGTTATGTATGGTATGGGCGTTTCACGCCTGTACGCCTGGTGCTTGAATGGGTGTTATGTGTGCCTCATCTGTACACTTGGTTGGTGTGCATGTTGCGTATACCTGCTGCGTGTTCATAATTTGTGTAATTTTATGTTTGCGCATGTTAGGCGCATATATGCATTACCGTCTCGTACGTCCGTAGTGTTGGTGTTGTTTGTAAGTGTGTTGTATGTATGATAGGTATGCCTCTAGTGCATGTGTTATTGACGTGTGTTGTTCCTGCATGTACTTGGTACATGCTATGTGCGTGTGCCCTTCTTTGTGTCTGGTATTTGCGTGTCTCCGTCATGCCGTCGTTCGTCAAAGACACGGGGCGGGGTCCCCAGGGAGAGGCCTGGCGGTCGCTGTATGTAATCGTCACTCGTCGAAGACGCGAGATGGGAACGGTGCCCTACCAATCTATTGCGAAGGCCTTACGGCCAGTGCCGCTCACCCTGAATGACGACGACGACGACGAGCGCTCTCGGGTGCCTCTTGGGGGTAGTTTTGGGGCCTCTTGGGAAGCTCTTGGGAGCCTCTTGGGAAGCTCCTGGGAGCCGCTTGGGAGCCTCGTTGGGGCCTCTTGGGGCTTCCTGGGGGTCTCTTGGGGGCCTCTTGGGGCCTCCTTGGAGGGCTTCTTGGGGGCCTCTGGGGGCTTCCTGAGAGCTTCTCAGGCGTAGGCATCGAAATGTCCGTTCGGGTCCCCCGTCTGGGCTCCCTCTTGGAGCCGTCTCCTCGGCTGTCTTGGAGGCCTCTTGGGCGGTCTTGGGGCCCTCTTGGGTCGTTGTGGAGCTCTCTTGGATCTTGGGGCGGTCTTGGAGTCCTCTTGGCCTGTCTTGGAGCGTCGGGAAGCTGACAAGGGAGACTGCTGAAATGTTTCAAAAAACCTATGGGAAATCTACGTTTTTAGCCCCTTGGGGCTGTCTTGGCAGTCTTCTTGGAGGCCTCTTGGGGCGTTTTGGAAAACTTTTGAGCCATCTGGAGGTAACTTTGGCGACTTGGACCGATACTTCGGCGATTCGGGGCCCTCGGAGACCGTCTTGGAGACATCTTGGGGCACTTTTGCCGCATCTTGGAGCTTTTCTGGGTCCCCGCCGAACCTCCTGGGGGGGAGTCGTATCTGCCTCGGGACCCCCCCGGGACCCCACCACCGGGACCCCCCCCCCTCGGCGGGGAAGGGCTCAATTCAATCGGAACAGCCTCTTCCACACGCGTCGGCGGATTTTGGTCGGTTCCTCAGTTGCAGCCTGTTTTCGGCGTGTCACCGGTATTGGCCTGTTTTGGTAGCGCGTGCTGCTCGTCGCCACCCATCTGGCACTTCGCCCATCTTGTTTATGCATCGGGCGTCGCCGCCTGGCGGCCGTGGTATGCCAGGTGTGCGATGCGGGTCGGGAGTTTGTTTCTTGAAGCAATCTGGCGACCTCAGCCTGTCGGGTCGAGGCACTGAGGTTGTTCTCCGAGTTCGGTTTCTTGGGGGCCACTTTCGAGCCCCAAGGCCGTCAAACAACGGCTCAGGATGAAAGCGGGCGCCGCAGCGTAAACTTACTGGATGTAACATCATGAGGCAATCTATGTTTAGGCCCTCTGCGGCGTCCAGCTGCGTGCCACGAGGCGTGAAGGCGCCCCGTGATAGTTCAGACAGCCTGTGGCGCTGTCGAGGCGATGCGATGAAAAAAATTGGCCCTGGGAAGACGGTCGGGACTTCCGGGGGCTCCGTATTGAACAGATCACGATATCGGATGTCTGGGGGGGGGAGAACACTCCAATCGCCCTCGCGGAGCGGGGGGGGGAGGATGAGGATGAGGATGAGGCATGGTGAATGATGATGATGATGATGATGATGATGATGATGATGATGATGATGATGATGATGATGATGATGATGATGATGATGATGATGATGATGCTGATGATGATGATGATGATGATGATGATGATGATGATGATAGGAGGAGGAGAGGAGTAGGAGGAGAGGAGGAGGAGGAAGAGGAGGAGGAGGGGGAGGAGGAGGGGCGAGGGAGTAGAGGGAGGGAGTAGAGAGGAGGGAGGAGGGAAAATGGAGATACGAGGAGGGACAGGAGAGAGGAGGAATGGAGAAGAGAGGATCGGCGAGGGCGAAGGGAGACGAGAAAGGAGGGATATGTGAAGAGGGAGAGGAGACAGGAGGGAGGAGATAGATTGGAGGAGGGTTGAGGGTCAGGGCTGCTCACTGGTCTGTCCACGGGCCCTCCGGGCTGCGCTTGGAATTTCCCCCCGTAGCCCGTCGAGGCCTCCCCCGGGGGAAATGCCGCATGCTCTTCACGGCCAGGAGCCCCGCACGCTTTCTCCTTCTCGCTTCCCCCTCCCTTTTCCTCCTCCCTCCTCCCTCCCTCCTCCCTACCTCCCTCCCTCCCTCCCTCCCTCCCTCCCTCCCTCCCTCCTCCCTCCCTCCCTCCCTCCTCCTCCTCCTCCTCCTCCTCCCTCCTCCTCCTCCTCCTCCTCCTCCTCCTCTCCTCCTCCTCCTCCCTCCTCCTCCTCCTCCTCCTCCTCCTCCTCCTCCTCCTCCTCCTCCTCCTCCTCCCCCCTTCCTTCTACTCCTCCTCCTCCTCCTCCTCCCTTCTCCTCCTCCTCCTCTCCCTCCTCCTCCTCCTCCTCCTCCTCCTCCTCCTCCTCCTCCTCCTTCCTTCTACTCCTCCTCCTCCTCCTCCTCCCTCCTCCTCCTCCTCCTCCTCCTCCCCTCTCCTCCTCCTCCTCGTCCGCCTCCTCCTCCTCCTCTACCTCCTCCCCCTCCCCTGTCCTCCTCGTCCTCCTCCTCCTCCTCCTCCTCCTTCTCCTCCTCCTCCTTGGCAGCGCGGCCACCGCAGCCGTCTTGCCCTGCGGCGGGCGGCCGCCGTGCCATAGACCCCACGCCATCTGCCCGTCTCTCGGGCGCTTGCAGACATTCCCGAGTGCGTGGCACCGTCGTGAGCGGCGGCGGCGCTCGCAGGCGCGCTTCACCTTGCGCTGCGCCGCCGCGCGCAGGATCCTGCCCGCTGGGCGGCGGCGAAGCCATGTCGGACCCGCCGTGGAGGGCAGCAGCGCAGCTGCCCCAGTGGCCGCGCGCCGCCACGAAGGTCTGCGGCGTTCGCGCCGGCTTCGGCCACCGCGGCTGCTGCTGGAAGTGTGGGCCGTCAATGGCGCCTTCCGCGTGCATATGCGTCGGCCAGGCCCCCTGCGCGGGCGCCATCCGCTCGCCCTCGGCGGCGCCCCGCTCGCCCTCCTGCTGCTCGCGGCGACGAGGCTCCTGCCGCTGAAGGCGCAGCCAGCCCTGCGGTCCCCGGGGCTCGCGAGGGCCCTCAGGCCCTGCAGCAGCTCAGGAACGCCGACGGCCCGCTGTCGTCGCGGCCATGGCCGACTTGGCCAACCCGGAGGCGGAGGAGCGCTGGCCTCGTCGACGCCGAGGCGAAGCAGAGCCAGGCCGAGGCAGCAGTTGCCGAGGTTGTGGCCGGAGTCGAGCAGCGAGCAGCTCCGCGAGCGGCAGGTGCGAGGATGCGCTGAGGTCGCCGGCCTGGCGACCGAAGCTGCTGCTGCTCAGCGTGCTGTGGCCGCCTCGGCTGCGGGCGCCAGCGGCGTGGACTCCGCGGGCGTCGCTTCCACCCTCGTCGGCCTAATTACAGAACCTGCTTGGTGCTGCGCCCGCGCGCGCGGCCAGTGGGAACGGGGCCGACGCGCTGGAGGCCATCAAGTCCCAGGCGGTGGCCATGGGCGCGGCCTTCCATGCCACTCGTGCCCTGCAGGCTGTTGCTCTTGCTACGGGCGCCCAGTCGGTGATTGCAGGAGCGGCAGGGCCCGCTGCCGCCGCCGCCAGCGCCGCGGGCACCTCGCCTGCTGCTCGCGCCGCTGGCCCAGGTGATGCCGAGACTGCCCCAGGGACCGCTTGTCGCCCCCCAGGTGGAGGCGACGCCGCGGCGTGGGAGGTGGCGGACATGGACGATTAACCATCGGGGACGGCGGCGTGCTTCGAGAAATAACGTTAGTTTGGTGACGTACATCGGCTCATCGCGGGGATTGTGCCGTGAGTTCTTGGAGCGTTGCCATTCGTCTGTCGACGCTGTTGCGGCACTTGTAACGCATCCGGGGGGGAGGAATTCGTCGTGCTGAAGGGTGGGCAGCTTGTGCAGGTTGGCATGCTGTTGTCTCTCCTTGCATGCGCATGGAGTCTTGGCGGGCTTCCGCTGGGGTCGGATTCTTTATCGGGTGGCACATCAGTGTTGCCGCCCTGCCTGTGTGCTCAGCTGTACCTGGTTGTTTTGAGTTTGTGCCGAACTTCTGCGTCGCATGCCATGCGGACTTCGGCATGAGGGGCGGTGTGGTCCTGGTGTCGGCCTTCTTCGAAGTGGAGATGTGGGATGGCATCAACGCTGTTCGCCTGTTTGATATCTCCACAGCGTTGCGTGGCCGAGGCAAGCTTTTCATCGTGACGGCGGATGTCAATTCTGACCCGCGTAAGCTGGACATGGACGGCTTCCTCGACTATGCCCGCTACGGATGTGGCCAGACGCGCCAGGGAAACTAGTCGAGCATCGGCTAGTGCCTGGTTATCTGGTCGATTTCAGGGTCCACGTCTGCACCGGGGCCTGTTGCGGGCTGGCCTGCTGCCCCGCGCTACCCTCTGGAGGTGCTCGTCGCAGAGACTGCCAAGTGCGCGAAGGTCGCGGTGCTTGCGGGGCCGAAGGCTTTCCCGAAGTGCGCGCCAGAAGATGGCGCTACCCTCTTTGCCGATCGTGACCACCTCGGCATCGTCGAGACCGACGTGAAGCGGTGGGTGTGAAGCCGCGCCTGCGCAGGCTCAAGTCAGACTGGCTGGCCTCTGCGCCGCCCTCGCGAATGCTGCCGGGGTTGGGCTGTTCCACCCGCGCGGCTTTAGAGCAGGCTGCTTCCCTTGACTGGCAGGGCGGCCAGGGTCGAGCATGCCTGGAGGCAGGCCAGTGGTCCGCCTGCTGGGGCCCCTCCTGCTGCTGTCTCTGGTGCCCGTCGTGCGAGGCGCCTGGTGCAGGCGGCGTCCGACGTCCTTCGGGCTGGGCCGCTCCGCGGACAGCCTCGTCGCCGCCCCGAGCGCCTTTTCTCCGAATGTGCGGAGCGCGGCAATCTGAACGTGGACTGTAGGCGTGTCGTCCGCCTGCTGTGGGAGATGCTGTCTATCGTCCGCAAGTTTCCTGACTCTGATGGGGTGCGCAGTCAGCTATGTCGGCAGGCGCGGTGGAGGCCGCGACCGACGCGTGTGGGAGTTTCCCCCGTGGGCCCAGAAGTCCTGGAAGTTCGGCGTTGCTCTGTGCTTCGGGGCCGGCGGCGGCCGCGGCTGCTTCGGCCGCTGCCCCCGGGACCCCTCTGCCCACGACCTCCAGCCACGCGAGAGCGCCCGCGAGGTTCCGACGCGCGGCACGCAGCATGAGGCGGCGTGGGAGGAGTCGGGCGACCTGAGCTGGGCGGGCAGCGGCTCGAGCTCATCGCAGAGGTTTTGTGGCTCATGTATCTCAGATGTCTTGGTGGGCTCTAGTCCTGGGAGCTCGGCTCGGCGTCGCTGTGTGCCCCGAGGTCGGCGGCCGCCTCGGCTGCTGCGCCCCTCCGGCCCTTCTGCCCGCCCCCCGCGGCCGCGGCGGGGCGCCCGCGAGGAGCCGGCGTGCGGCGTGCAGCGTTGAGACGCGCTGGGGCGGGCGGCGGCGGCGGGGTTCGATCGGCGTGGGGGAGTGGGCAGCGGCTCAAGCCCATCGCAGAGGTTTTGCGTTCCAGATATTTCAGATGTCTCGGGGGGTCCTGGGAGCGCGGCCTCGCCGAGTGTTCGAGGTCGGCGGCTGCTGCGGCCGCCGCAGCCGGGCCCCTTCTGCCCGCGCGCCCCAGCCGCGCCGCGGCGTTTGCAAGGCGCCAGCGCGCGGTGCGCAGCATGTGGCGGCGCGGGGGGGGGGGGGTCGGGCGGCCTCGGTGGGGGGGGCGGCCCGAGCTCATCGCTGATCTTGCTTGGCCCTGCTGTTTTAGATGGCGCGGGGGTGCAGTTGGCGCCTCCGAGCTCCTGTGACTTCTTACTTGGAGTGGTTGGCTATGGCAGTGCGTTCTCCCCGGCTGCGCGCTTGCCGGCGTCCGGGGCGTCGGGCGGGATGCTCTGGGCGTTGCTGTCGAGCCGCTCGGGGATTCCGCCCCGTCTCTCGAGCTGGGCGCCATGCGGGCGCAGCGCTAGGCCGTCGCCGCGTGGGCGTGGGGGGCCGGGGAGGGCAGGATCAAGCCGCCGTTCTTTTTTTGCCGAGCCTGCTGGCGTTCCGCGCTGTCATGCGCGCTGGCGCGGGTCCTGCGCTGCAGCTGCTCAGCGCGTGGCAGGCGATCGGGCGGGCGGTCGGTCTGAGATGCGGAGTGCTTCTGCGGCTTCGGGCCAGGCGACGGCGGGCCAAGTGTGCGGCTGTAGTTCTGGCCTTCTCGGTGTCGATTTTCGCCATCTGTCGGGTTTCGACTCCGCAGCTGATGCGCGGGCGGCCGTTGCCGAATTGCCCGGGGCCAAGCTCCCTGTTCCAAACGTCGATGATGTTCGCGCCGTGGCCGATGGGTTCAAGTGGCACGCGGGTCAAGGCGCTGACAAGTTGGCCCCCCGGGCCATGAGCTTTCTCTGCGGCGCCGCCATGCCCCTGTTGATTTGAGTTATGCGGCCGGCCAAGCGGTGGGGAAGGGGGCGCATTTAGCTTTTGTCTGCGCATGTTGTCTTATCGTCTAAGTCCAGGGGCGGTTGGGGGCCCATGGCGTTAATGCGGGCGGCGTGTCGAGTTTGGTCCCAGCTGCGCAGACAACAGCTACGTGAATGACGTTTAGCTCATGTTTGGCAGTATTTTGCGTCGGTGGCAGGCAAAAACACTTCTTTCGCGGCGGCGCGCGCCCTGCTGCGAGCTGAAGCTGTGCGCGCTGAGAATGTGGGGGCCACTGCCGTTATAATCGACATAAAGGAATGTTTCGACCGCATTTGTCGGAGGCGGTTCGTGGCCGCAGCCAAGCAGCATGACATTTCCCGACGGCTGTTGGCGTGTCCGCTGGCCGTGCATCGTTCGCCGCGTTGATTGGCGTGGCTGCGGGCGTCTTGCGCGTCGATCAGGGGGTCTTGCCTGGCTACAAGTTTGCAATGGCGTTCGTTCACTTGCTGATGATCTCGGCCATGGATGACTTCGTTAGCCTCGTGACGCCGTCGCAGTTGGACGACGCCCTGCGCTGCCCCTTCTCGCTGGACACCTTCGCGGACGACCTGGTCTTGCAGATCGCGGTTCAGATGCGCCGCCTGCGTCGCTCGTCGGTCGACAATATGAAGATCCTGCGCGCTGTCTACTGGGCCCGGGCCTACCCGCGGCCGCGTCCAGAACCGCGCCTGCTGGGTCAGACGATGCCGCTGCCGCCCCGATCGCGACGAGGCTGAGGCGCGGCGAATTCCATGCGCCGCCCTGGCTTGAGGTCCAGGGTCGCGAAGTTGGGTCGTGGAAGCCAGCGAGGTCGCTGGCGCCGCGCCGAAGGATGCGCAAGGTGGCCGAACGCAACAGGCAATTCAGGCGCCTCAGCGCCCTGCAAGGGAACTTCTGACTTATTGCCCGTGCTGCCATCGGCCCCGCCATCACCTGCGGCCCGGGCGCCCTCGGCGCTGCGCCCCACGTCGCGAACAGCATGGCGACCTTGGTGAAGCGCGGCTGGGGCGCCATCCCGAAGGGTAGTCCGCGCTGGATCGCGGCCCAACTGGACCTGATCAACGCCCCGCCTGTGTTGCAGTGGTGGGCCCCGCTCACAACTGGGATGTCATGCTGCGCGCTGGTAAAGTCCCACATGACTCTGAGCAAGAGGTCTGGCGCTCGCAGTGCCTTAAGGTTGAGGTTGCTCCTGTGCCAGCTTCATCCAGCTGGGAACGGGTGGTCGGGCCTGCTGGATCTTGCGAGATCTATGTCGCGCTGAGTGTGGACGGGCCCCATCGGCCTTTCTCGTCCGTGCGCGCTCTGGAAATACATTGGATATGCGTGAGGTGGCCCCCTATGTTGTCAGGTGGGTTGCTTTGCAGGACTTCGGGGCGGTCGGCTGAGGGCCTGAGATGCTTGGGCCGCTGCGCTGTGTCCCCGCTCGTGCGCGGCTGGCGCCCATGCGTGGGCTCCTGCATGCAGGGGCCATGGCCGAGCGCGGGGTACCGGGCCCGCTTGCTCGCGCTGCGTTGCGGACCGCGGTGCTGGGGGGGCACTTCTCGCAGTGGCGCCTCCACCAGTGCGCCTGCGCGGGCCGCCCGTGTTGCTTGAGATGCTGGGGGGTGCCTGGCGCTCTTCGCCATTGCTGCTGGCGCCGCCCGGCGTTCGACGACCTCCGCGAGCGCGCCGTCGACGAGGCGAGCCTCGATGCGGCGCCCCATGCCGTGTCAGGTGACCTCCTACCCCAAGGTCTTGTATCCGAGCGCCTTCTTGCTTGCGCTTGCGCCGCGAGTTGGTTTGGGGGCCTGGCGCTTCGATCCTGGCTCGCGGGTGGGGCGCCTCGTCGTGGCGGGCGCTGTCTCCGCGGATGGCTCGTGCAAGAAGCCGCCGCGCTGGGATGCCGATTCGCGGGCTGGCTGGGGCTCTGCGATTGTGGGGGGTCGGCGTTGCTGCGGCGTTGTTTTCGGGCCCCTCTTTGGCCCTCGACAGACCTCGGGCCGCGCTGGATGGCGCGCCGTGTTGCGGGCGCTCGCGGTTTGCCCGTCGCCGCTTCGCGCGCGCCGATTATTTGCAGCTTTTCAAGAGCATGGGGGAGGCCAGGCGCGCCGCGGGCGCTGGCGCGCGGGCCTTCGGAGAGAGGGCGCTGTCATTTGGATGCGGCTGTGGCGCTGCGTCGATGATCGCGGCGGCTTCCTGCCTGCTGGCGATGGCGAGTAGCCGCCTATTCGCCTCGCCTGCGTTAGGGGCCATCGGGGGGCAGGCGCGTGGGAGAGGCGTTGCAATGACCTAGCAGTTGAGACTGCGCCGGGGGGGCGACGACTGCGCGACCTCCCGCTTGCGTCGGCGCGCCATCACTGCGGCGCACTGACGAGGGCGCGACGGGTTGCGGCGTGGATCGCCGACGCCTTCGAGAACGCGTTCGACGGCTCCGCCCCGCCAGGCCGCGTGGAGATCCCGCGGGGGCGACCCGGGGCCCGGCGCGGCGCCGCTTGGCCGAGGCGCGCGCCGCCACCCCTGCCGCCGGCGGCCCCCGATTGTGCCCCCCGCCGCTGCCGTCGTCGACTGAGCGTCCTCGCCGAGCGAGGCGTCGAGGTCGCAAATGGCATTGGGCGAGGGCCTTCGAGCTCCGCTGGGGCGGCCGAGGCGGCGGCCCTCTGGGGCCTCGGAGTCCTCGCGGCCCCCTGGCCCATCGGCCCCGCCCCCAGGCCGCCCCGCGGGGCCCTCGAGGCCGGCGCGGGCCTTTAAGAGGGCCCGCCGCCATCGACCATTGCGGGCCTTGGGCGGCTCCTAGCGTCTAAGGGGGTGAGGTTAGCTGGGGGTGAGGAACAGCGGGGTTCAGACCTCGCCCATGCGCGCGGGCTCGCCAAGACCGCGCGCGTGCAGGCCTCCCGGGAATCCGCGCCATCCCCCCTCCCCGTCTCGCGTCAGGGGCGTGGGGGCTTGCGTGTGGTGCGGCGGCGACAGGGCCCGTCAGGGTCCTTGCGCGAAGGCGCCACGGCTGCTGGCCCTGCCCTCTCCTGGGCCCGGCCGCCCAGAGTGGCCTCCGCCCGCTCCCCGAGAGGGCTGGGGCCTCAGGGGGGGTCGCGGCGTGGGGCGTCGCCTCCCCGCTCAGGGCCCTGTGGGCCCCAGTTGTGTTCGGCGGCACAAATGTCCTCCTCGCTTCAGACGCCCGTGCATGCTGCCACCGTGGTGGGGCGCGCGCCCAGCCGTCGGCCTCTCGGCTCCGTCTCTCTGGCGAGTGCGTGGGCCTTGCAGCCAGCAAGGATTCCGCTGATTTGAAGACCTTCGAGGTAGGTGAGGATCCCATCGCGGGGGTGTGGATGGGCGCGCCTCGCCCTCTCCTTGTCTCCGACGATGCCTGCTATTGGCTTCGTCTTTGATGAGTCGCTTGGTGTTGTATTTTTTTTCATCGTCGAGTTGTGTGTACTCCACCTTTCCAATCGTGTCAATGTTCCCTTTTCCTGATTCGGCAAGCTCGGGTTCGCTTGGTGGTGCCTCCCTCCTCCCCCCCTCCCCCTTCTATTTTTCTCCTCCTCCCTGCTCCTTTCCCCCCTTCGTCCTCCCTTCTTTTCCTCTTCCTCCTCCTCCTCCTCCACCTCTCCTTCTCCTCCTCCTCCTCCTCCTCTTTCCTCCTCCTCCTCCTCCTCCTCCTCCTCCTCCTCCTCCTCCTCCTCCTCCTCCCCCTCCCCGCCTCCTCCTCCTTCTCTATCCTCCTCCTCCTCCTCCTTCCCCCTCCTCCGCCTCCTCCTCCTTCTCTTCCCCCCTCCTCCTCCTCCTCCTCCTCTTCCCTCCTCCTCCTTCTCCTCCGCCTCCTTCTCTCCCTCCCCGTCTGTGCTTTGCCATTGAATTAGGCAGCCGGGCAATGTCAACCGCGCCTACAACGGAAATGCAGCTACCTTGCTTGTTGAAGGACGGGGACGTCCTCCTCATCCTCCTCAGGAGGCGCCGAAGTCCGCTCCCGCTCCTTCCAAAACTCGAGCTGGTCGGCCGAAGCGCCCGGAACACCGTAAAACCTCCCCACGGGACCACCTCGGACTCCAGACGGGCTCCGACGGGGCCTCCCGATCCACGAGGGGCCGCCAGGGCGAGGAGGTCAGCTGACGAGGGCTCCCGCAGAGGCCCGAGCCTCCAGCCCCTGTACTCCACGCCATGCAGGGGAGTCCCCCCTTCCACGCCCTGGCTAGCTGCCTGCCCGTGTGCTGGGTGGGCGGCCTGCCCAAGCACGGGCGCGCAAGCGAGAGCACCCCCACCAAACGTAACCCCCGCAGGCGACGCAGACGAGAGCTGTGGGTCCCGAGAGAACGGTGGCCCCGTTGGGGGCGAAGACCGAGGCCGCTCAGTGACGGTGCCCGAGAAACTTCAGCAACAGCGATTACTCGGGGTCCTCTTGGGGGCTGCGGGCCTGAAGGCTCTGCGGCTTGAAACGGCCTCGGCCTCCAGAGCTTAAAAAGGGAAAGGCGGGGGGGGGGAGGGGCCAAGTCTGACCGACGCAGGCGCTGCCCCTCCTCCTCCTCCTCCTCCTCCTCCTCCTCCTCCTCCTCCTCCTCCTCCTCCTCCCCCGCCCCAGGGAGGGCCTCGGAGTCCTTGGCGGTCCCCGAGGCGACCTGCACCACCTGCTGCGCAGCCAAGCGGGCCGCCTCGACCAGCCCCTCGAAGGCTCGAATGTCGTCAAATGCCGACGAAGTCGAAGGATGGCAGGCGGCGCCGCGGCGAGCAAACTGGTCGGCCAGCCGATTACCCGCCCGCTCCCAAACTGTTACCCGCCCCCCCAAATATCGTGCATCGTCGCGTGGGCTTGTGGACCACGAGGTCCGAGTCGAACCGCGAGTGGATGCGGGCCCAAAGGTGGGCCCTGGGACTCGCAGCGTGAGTCGCGAACGACAGGGCGATGGCACACTCAATCGTGCCCTGACAATCGGCGAAAAGCTTGACAGGCTCCTGGACGCACTCGCACGCATAGAACTACGCCGCGTCCTCGCCTCCCAAGCCTGCTGGAAAGGGGCGAGGGCCGCGGGGACCGCCCCGAAACACCCCGGCCTGCCTCCACCGGCCTCCCCCGTCCTCCCCGGCCTACCGCATTTCGCAGGCCACGGGTTCCACGCCATGCCCTCATGGGCACGGGCTAGCTCCCCAAGGGAGTGCGCATGACTCCGGCATTCGCTTCGCTTCGCTTCCTCCCCCCTCTTTCCTCTTCCTCTCTCCTTCTCCTCCTCCTCCTCCTCCTCCTCCTCCTCCTCCTCCTCCTCCTCTTCCTCCGCCTCCTCCCTCCTTCTCCTCCTCCTCCTCCTTCTCCGCTCGCCCCTCCCTGCCAGGAAGGGTGAGCGTGGAGGCACCAAGCTGCAGCTGAACATTCGGTTGCACGCAAGAGGGACCCTTCGCCGGAGTGACCTCTGATGCGGGCCTCGAGAGAAAATCAGTGGCGAAGCGTCCTGGCTCGCCTATATCGGTCCACCAAATGATGTTCTAAGGGCCTCATGTGGTCTGCACGGAATGCTCTTAGAACATTTCTGGCCGAGGTTGTCCTGCGTTAACTCGTCGGGC